AAATAAATAAATAAATAAATAAATATTCTAGGCTGATATTGCTGACATACAAATCTAAGAAATGAGAAGTTATAAAAAGTCCTAGTAAAAAACTATTCTCTATGAGTACATGTTTACAATAAAAGTACATGATTTTTGAATTATGAGAAGTATCTTTCTTACCACTGGAAATAAAAGTTCTTCTATATTTGTAGATTTAATATCTCACTTCCCTGTAACAAAGTATATTTTACATTTACTAGAAAGATGGCAAAAAATAGAGCTTTGGTAAAGAAATCATACAAAATACTAACCATCAAAATAACACATTTGCCAGTTATTAGGTTATAAGTTAATCCTCTCAAAACCTTACTTGACCTAATTCCCACCTGCCAACACGGTCATTAACCTGGAAGCAGGAAATATGCATTATTAGTTGTGTCTCACCAGAAATGGTGAGAAACACCTCTCATCAAATACACTCTGCAGAAAAGATGAAAAATATTCAGCGTCTTGGTGGAATCTTTTGTACATATTATTTACAGGATTTTGAGGCTTTTCATTGTGACTTGGAAGAACAAAGTCAGTTTCTCCTGTCAATGAAACTTTGTTTCTGCTTCAGTGTAAATAACAACAAAATGGCAGCAAATACTACCCACAAAATACTCCCTTCTTTCCATCAATGGTTTATGTGAAATGTGTCCAACAGAAGCCAGAGTCCATTCACTCACTACAAAGGACTCTGCTTCTCTTTTGTCGTCACACCTCACTTTCAGAAGTTCTTCTTGGAGAGGGAGATTAAGATTGGGATTTTTTTCAAGCATGTAGATTTGATTCATGGTTAAAACTTAGCAGCAAAGGCAAATAAAATGTGTTTGATCAATTTACAAGGTGATACACAGTGACTTATGGCAAAGTGGTATGCTTTACTGAACTTGAAGTCTACTATTAAGATGCATAATAAGCAATTTGATGTCACTGCTGCAGATAAAAGATAATACTAACTTTAGAGTGGTATAAAGTATAATAGACACAATGATTAAATATTTAGTTATAAATTTAGGAAACACATGAGTTTCCTAAATATTAGAAAGCAGCATTCTGGAGCAGTGTTATTCAAGGGGGGGCAGTTCAGACTATGACCACTCCATGGCCAGACCTAGAATCGTATGTCAGAATGTAATCAACATTGTAAAAGTCTAATTATGAAGAAAATAACTGCAATGAACAGTCTGCTTAGTGACATGGCCGGTTCACATTCCACAGCAGGTTCTCACCATCTTGTCACTGATAGTCTAAAAGTCTGCACACCAATGAACAACTCAACTCTGGAGCATGAATATACTCTTTCATATACACACAGATACAATCAGTTCTTATAAAATACTTAAAATGTGTAAATACCTGTTCCTGCAGGTCGTAATCATAGCTGTCATGCAGTAGAAGACTGAGGACATACCGAGTATAAATCATGGCATCAATGCCACATTTCTCCAGCTCTTGTCCCAGCCAGGTCTGCACTGGACCCAAAGCATGAAGCAGAGACATTTCAGAAACAGACACAGGGCCTGGATAAGAACTTGAGGAGCTTTCAGATGGCAAACCATCCACAACAACTGTACAGATAGGGGCATGAATTTAGGTTGCTGACATCCTTAAAGTGCGAAGCATTTTCCTTCGTTGATATTCTGTTGGTATCTGGAGAGGATTTTCACTCCAGTAAAAAGGAGAGATGCTTGACATCGAGGATAAGCATTTATTTTTGCTGGTGGTCAGCCATCTAAAATAGAATTTCCCTCTTCACACATGACCAATGAATCTTCCTGATAGCAACAAACATGTAGATATGAATTTCTACTTTAATTTCACATTGAGGCCAAATGGAAGTCTCCGGCAGAACCTACAAAAATGGGAGAGAAATAAAATGTATTATGTAAAAATTAAATAATTGATCTTTTTAAAAAAATCAAATAAACTGTTTCCCTTTATTAAAATATCTTTAAGGCCAGGCTTGGTGGCTCACACCTGTAATTTTAGCACTCTGAGAAGCTGAGGTGGGATAATCCTTTGAGCTCAGGAATTTAAGACCAGCCTAAGCAAGATGGAGACCTGTCTCTACTAAAAAAATAGGAAAGAAATAGCCAGGTGCCATGGCAGGCACCTGTAGTCCAAGCTACTAGGGAGGCTGAGGCAGAAGGATTACTTGAGCCCAGAAATATGAGGCTGCTGTGAGCTAGGCTAGAGCCACAGCATTTTATCCTGGGTAACAGAGGGAGACTCTTTTTCATAAAAAAAAAGAAAAAGGAAGAAAGAAAACTAATTCCACTCTCCCTCCCATAATCTATGCCATTTTAACTTTCAAAATGCAAAGTGTTATGACATATGGTCATAGTCCCAGCTACTTGAGAGGCTAAGTCAGGAAGATTGCTCGGTTCCCAGAGTTCAAGGCTATGGTGTGCCTAAGCAAAGCCACTTCATTCCAGCCTAGGCAACATAGTAAGACCCTGTTTCCATCAATCTGTCAATGAAACACACTTTTAAAACAACATTGTCAACTTCTAAAAGCTTGATACCAGGCCAGGCACAGTGGCTCATGCCTATTAATCCTAATATTCTGGGAGACCGGGGCAGGAAGGTCACTTGAACTCAGGCATTTGAGGTTGCTGTGAGGGAGGCTGAGGTCATGGCATGGCATGCGAGCCCAGGTAACAGAGTAAGACTCTGTCACTAAAATAAATAAAAGCTTAATATCATTGAAAAAAAGAAAATCAAGAATTTGATGTTCTTCTTGTATTTAATTATCCTGATGTTTATTTTGTTATCAAGAGATTGAATGAGTAAAATTTTGTTTCTGTAATGCTGAATATATCTTCTAAAGAATCAGTAGTTCACATCAAAGTTTAAGAGAGATAAGCAGCTGAAGAGCAATTTCACGGAAACAGTGATCAAAAATTAGCCCTTTAAATTTTAAGTTTTGGGTTGGGTGCCCGTAGCTCAGTGGTTAAGGTGCCAGCCACAAGCTCTGGGGCTGGTGGGTTTGAACCCATTCTGGGATTGTTAAACAAACAAACAAACAAACAAACATCACTGGGCATTGTGGCGGGTGCCTATAGTCCCGGGTGACAAAGTGAAACTCTGTCTCAAAAAATAATAATAATAATAATAAAGTTTTGTACAAGTAATCAATTACTTTGTATGGTTTTAAGATTAGTCATCACTTATCTTATAAAAATTAAGGTGGATGGGCCAAAACAGCAGGTGGTTCATGCCCATGATCCTAGCAATTTCCAAGGCCAAGGATTGCTTTGGGCCAGGAGTTCAAGATCAGCCTGAGCAAGGGCCAGACCCTGCTTATACACAAAAGTGGCTCGGCGCTTGTATCTTAGCAGCTAGGGCGCTAGCCACGTAACTGGAGCTGGTAGGTTCAAATCCAGCCCAGGCCTGCCAAACAAAAATTACAACTACAACAAAAAAATAGCTGGCGGTTGTGGTTGGTAGCTGTAGTCCCAGCTACTTGGGAGGCTGAG